TTGAATCCAAAACCAAACTCACTGCCGTGGAGTTGGATCCCACTCATAGCGACCTCTCCTTGGGTTTCCGAGGCGGAATCTCTACGGAAGTAAATTGCCCAACCTTACCTTCTGAGGAGTGGCTGGTGGGTTTGAACCACCAGCCTTCTGGTTAGTAGTCACATGCCTTAGTGACATCCACCTTAATATCTAGTGTTGTTGTTATGTGCCGTCAAGTCGGCCCCCAACTCATAGCGTCCCCTCCTTGTGTTGCCGAGGCAGTATCACTATGGAAGTAGATTGCCCAACCTTCCTTCCGAGGAGTGGTGCTTCTAACTGTGAATGCATGTCCTCCACCCCACCTCTTTATTCATTTTTGTTCCCCAGCACCTTGGGCTTTCCCCCAGAACAGAGTGGGCAGGCACTGAGGCCTTCCGGGGGGACACTGCCAAGTAGGCAAACAGCCTGCAGCTCCATTACTGTGTTGTTCACAGGTGAGGTTCCGAAAACCTGCTCAAGAACCAGCAGGATGAAGTGGGTGTGGTGTGGTGTGTTGATTCCAGTGAGTGCTTTAGTACTTGGAGGTAAATCATGGGTGGTGGTAGTTTCATTTGTATATTAAACATGCTTTGGACGCTTTTGCTTTTATTTATTTTAAATCACAATGACAATACCTCCTGGTGTAGCCAAGTACTTGGTTCCTGGTGTGTTTGTGGAGGGAGTGTGTAGCAAAATTTTGGGATAGTTGAATTATGAGTCACATTGGGATTCTAATGCATTAGAAACAGGATTTTTGAGGTTTAGTTTTCGAAAATCTTCCTTTTTGCTCTTTGCAAAAAAGTGGTGCTGAGGCTCTGGTGGTATAGTGCCTAAGGCATTTGACTGCTAACCAGAAGGCTGAGAGTTCAAACCCACCAGCTGCTCCTCGGAAGGATGGGTGGACAATCTACATCCGTAGAGATACTGCCTTGGAAACCCTAGGAGGGGTTGCTATGAGTCGGAATTGACTCAAAGGCAGTGAGTTTGGGTTTGTTTGGTTGGTTGGTTGGTTGGTTGGTTGGTGTTGATGATGGTGTGAACAGTTCACTTTGCAGCATTGAGGCAGGTGCCTGGGAACAGTGCCTGCAAGTTAAATGAATACTGTTTGTAAAAGGGGCATGGTCAGGCTGTGGTTTAAAAATATTCATCCACTTGTGAGTCTGCTTACAGGTGACAAATTGTGTGTTTATTAGCATCATTTTTGATTCAAGAAAAACAGGTTTTGCCTCCCAAGCAGGAGTGTGCATTTCTGTGATGTTCTTTTCACATGAATGAGACCTTCCTTCTAGAGGAGTTGCCATCAGTCTTACCTCCCAGATCTGGGTGCCTACTTCCCAGGGGTGAACCTGGAGGGGTTTTGGAGTTCTTTGGTTATGCATGACTCAGCTGTTGGGGTGGAAAGAAAGATGAAAAAATTTTTATACTTTTTAAAGATTTTGCCATTTTGAAAAGATATGTGCACTATTAAACAAACAAACAAAACCAAACTCACTGTCATTGAGTTGATTAACTCAAAGCAACGCCCAAGGCTGTAAATCTTTAGGGAAGCAGATTGCCCCATCATCCTTCTGTGGAGCAGCTGATGAGTTTGAACCCCAGACCTTCTGGTTAGCATTCAAATGCCTTACCCACTTGTTATTGTTGTTATGTGCCGTCGAGTCAAACCCGACTCATAGTGACCCCTCCTTGGGTTTCCGAGGCAGTATCACTACGGAAGTAGGATTGCCCAACCTTCCTTCCAAGGAGTGGCTGGTGGGTTTGAACTGCCAGCTGTCTGGTTAGCAGGCAAGTGTCTTAGCCACTATGCTACCAGAGCTCCCGCCTTACCCACTACACCACCAGAACTCCTTATTTGCTCTGTTAGGAACAGACAATTGAGAAAATACTGAAAGAAACAATGATTACTTATAATTCCCTTGTAAAATATTTTTGCTCAGTTTACTTACATTCTTTCCTCAAGAATAGGCAGGGTTTTTTCTTCCCCCCTCCCTTTCTTTTAAAACGTCATTATAAAGCAGATGTGATTTTGGCCAGTTACAGAGATACTTCTTTCTTTAAAGTGAGTCATGTTCAGTGTCTCCATTCTTAGAAACCACAAGTTAGGATTAGACTCTGGTGCGTTCTGGACTACCACAGCATGCAGAACCTTAAATGAATTTTGAAAGTTTAATCCCTACTGGTGTACTGGGCAGGAAGGAGCTTTGGTAGTATAGTGCCTAAGGCATTTGACAGCTAACCGGAAGGGTGGTGGTTCAAACCCACCAGCTACTCCACGGAAGGAAGGTGAGGCAATATACTTCCATGAAGATTTACTGCCTTGGAAACCCAATGGGGGTTGTTATGAGGTGGAATCTACTCAGTGGCAGTGTTTTTTTTTTTGTTGTTGTTGTTGTGTAGTGGGCAAGAGCTCTGGTGGTGTACTGGTTAAGGCGTTTGGCTGTTAAGCAAAAGGTAAGTGGTTCAAAACCACCAGCTACTCTGTGGAAGAAAGATGAGGCAGTCTGCATCTGTAAAGATTTCCAGCCTTAGCAAGCAACTTGAAAGCAGTGGTTTGGTTTTGGTTTATTATTATTTGTTCCTAGTTCTGAGGAAGATTTGGCATCATTTAGTAGATGAGGTTGGAATCATGGGGGCTCCTGTCATGTTTTCTAGGTTGGATTTAGAGGCGAGTGCAGAGGCAAGAGGAAGGGCTGTTTACAGGGTCACTGGGGCGGTGGATGAGAGGGAAGGCCTGGCAGCCACCAGCAATGGCCCTTCTGAACTGATGAGACTGGAGCCCCTGCTTCCACCATTGACATCTCTGATTTGTTTTTCAAACCTTTCTCTCTCACCAGGGTCTAGTGGACCTTGTGGGTGCCTCTTCTTCCTTATACTCGAGGGTGGTAACTAAAATCTCACTGTATGTTGGGAGTGGGGTTAGGGGCCTGGGGAGTTTTTGAGAGACGGCACTAGCCATCTTTGAGTTCCTATTACTTCATCTCTTCCTGGTCTTAATCTGTGAGGCTTGCCCTTGTTATTACCATAAAGTGCGGGAGCCTGGAGTGGGTCCAGGGTGTGAAATGGCATCAGGCGATAGGCCAGGCCCTGCTCCCCTTCTCATCTGTGTGTCTCTCAAGGGTATGATCACCTTCCAAAAACCTCACTGGCTTTGATTAGGGTGTAGGTGGTCCATTTGTGCCTGAGCAGTGCCCATCCTTGCAGAGGTGCCTTGGAGTCAGTGGGCCAAGGGTTTGGGGAGATAACCTGGTGTGGTTGGTATAGAGCAGGCAAGAGCAGGGATGGGACCCTGGGCTAGCCATTCAGGAGGTGAATGACCTTGACCAATTAGACAACCTTTCTGGCTTTGGTTTTCTCTGTTGTAAAATGAGGTAATAATAACTGTATCTCATGTCATTTTATGAAGATTAAAATAGTATATGGAAGGAACTTACTTAAACCTGGTGCCTGGTAGCTGTTACCATGTTGGAGAAGATGATTCTGTCTGAGGATGGGGTATAACAGGTCACCTCAGCTTCCCGGGTATCTGTGCATTGGTGGGTTTCCCTAACTATCACTACAATTCCATTTGAGAAAGTAGTTTCTCAGAGAAGCTGTGCCCCATGCCTAGGAGTCCCTGGACTGGGCTGGGGCTGCTTCTGCATGAAGGGTAGGCTGAAATCCCCAAGTGCTGGTTAAGGACCCTTGTTAGTGCTCTTATGTGAATGTTCCCTCCCTGTGGTCTGTTAGTGAGTGTGATGGAATCCTCCCTGCTGCTGTCCTACGCCCTGCCTCCAGGGTGCACTGGCGCTTCTCAGTCTTTAGGTGTTTGTGCGTGCTGGTTCCCTGCCTGAAGTGCCTTCCACACCTCTATCTTCTCCATCTTAATTACTTCAGAGACTTACATCAGATGCCATCTTCCCTGCTAAACTGATCTAAAGACTTCCAGCCAGAGTGCTCCTGTGATAATTCTGAGGGGCTCCTGCTGTTCCTTTTCTTTTTGAGGAGTTTTACTTTAGTCTCCAATGTGTTAACAGACCTTGTCTCAATCCTCTACCTAATAGCTTACTAAATACTTTTTGGTTGACAACACATGCCCTGTTCTGTGAGATACTTCTGTGTACAGCAGCTTTCATACATTTTTGACCCTGACCTACATTAAGAAATACATTTTACATTGTGACCCAGTAGAGAGTGAGAAGTGCATGTGCACATGCGTGTGTGTGCACACACACAAAACTCTTTCACTAAACTACCCATGGTGCACTCTGACACTTCCTTTTTTATTAAATATCATGTTGTTTATTTCTGCTGCTGGTTGGGATCTTCCTAATTGATTGCACTTTGTGTCTGGGCTGCTGTTTCAAAAACATTGACTTGGTAAATACTTGAGCCTGAAGATGGGAGGAACATTGACTTGGTGAATAATTGAGCCTGAGGGTGGTAGGAGGAAGGGGGCGCTGATTGTCCCTTAGTCTGTAGTGGCTGTTAGAGGCCACACTCTGATTGTCATTGGGAAGGGGTCGGCAGCCCTTGCCACTGAAGAACTTGGGTTGGCGCACTGCTACCATGAGCAGTCCCCTCCTCATTCAGGAAGCATCTTCAGAAGCTAGAATGCTCTGCCAGCATACAGTTTGGGTGCAGAAGAACGAGCAGTGGACTAGGGGTCAGTGCATCTGGTCAAGTCCTGGTTCTGCTGCTTGGTAGCTGTGAGCCTCGGGCGTATCTCATTATCTCCCTATGCCGCATACGGCTGTTGTGCGGCCCAGTTGAAGGGATGTGTGGGCAGGGTGAGCACAGTGCCTGGTACACAGTGCATTGACTGCTTGGTTGAATCGGGAATCTTTTACTGTGTCCCTATTTCCCAGGAGTGTTGGGGGTCATCCTAGAGTCCACTGGACCCTCCTTTTTTTCTCTTGGTCTGCCTGGATCAGAGGGGAGTTGAGGAAAAGCAGTCTACGGGAATAGCTGTGTGACCTTTGCCTTCTCTCTTCCAGCACTGAAGAATGGCTGCCATGTTGGGAGATGCCATCATGGTGATCAAAGGCCTTGTTAAGCTGACCCAGGCAGCCCTGGACACCCACCTGCAGCACTTGGGCCTCGGTGGGGAGCTTGTCATGGCGGCCAGGGCCCTGCAGTCCACAGCTACGGAGCAGTTTAGTGTGGTCTTTGGGAGTGTGCAGGTAAGGAGGCCACCTAGGCTGTGGGAGGAGTTCTGGTAAGAGGAGGCTTGGAGCTCTCAGTGAGACCAGGGCTGTGAACAGGAACTACAGCCATGTGACTGGTCTTGCTTGTGGCCTGGGTAAGGAGCCCACCAGTCAGTGCAGTGGGCTTTCCTACTTGGCCAATGAAGGCCTCTTGTGTAATGCTGTGATTCATTTTGTTTTAGTTATAGCATGCATCACAGAGCTGGGAAGAACTCCCAGGACCACGAGTCCAGCACCCCAGTTCTGGTTACCTAGTGCCGCTCTTACAAGACTATACTGCAAATGGGATGGTCTTAACAAACAGGAGTTTATTCTTAAAATTTGGAGGCTTTAAGTCCAAGTTCAAAGTGCCAGGCTCTAGGGGCTGGGTGAAAGCCCCTCAACCTTGGCGTCCAGCTCGGCCTCCTGCTCCTGGCCCACTGAAGCTAGAGGCATTTCTTCACTCAGACAGCTGCTGGCTGCTGAGGCTGAGAAACCCTAAGGTTGACAAGTAAAAAAGGCACAGTCCTGATGTTACCACATGGAAGGCCATTGACTTAAGTCCATTGTAAGTCCCAAGGTTGGCAGAGCATAGCAGGCTGCTGAGCAACGACACGGCTACATGCAGGGTCCAAGCATGCCATAGGCTAGAAGACCATTCCCAAAGTTGTTTCTTATATACGGGAAGCAGATCACATACCTAAGACAGCTACTCAGCTGCTACCAGTAGATTCCACCATGGAGTTGATTACCAGTCTCATCATGGGGAATACTACATCCAGCTGCCCAGCCACTCAACCAGGCCCAGCCAAGTTGACACACAAACATAACCACCACAACCCCTGTTCCTGATATTAGTGGTTCACCAGTACCTGCTGAGCATCTATGATGCCAGGTCCAAGGCATGGCATGGGGGACAGGACCTAGGCTCTGTCCTGCAGGGGGTTCCTAGTGATCTTGACAGATCTGGCACAGGTTGAGTTCCTGGATCTTGAAGGTACTGAAGAGAAGCCTTTAACATTTTGGAAAATTAAAAATAAATAAATAACCAACCCATAAAGAAATAAGTAACAATCATCTGTATTTTTGTGGAGGGCTGGTAAAACAACTCTGTTATGTATCCTTCAGTGAAGCAATTTTGTTAGAAGACTAAAAACCTCTCCTTAGTTTATCTGGTTAATGTTAATGTTTTTGTTGGGGTGGTATTTTTGACCCCCCACCCCAATGTGGGCTGGGCCAGGGCATGGCCAGTCTGGAAAATACATGTTTTATTAGACATCTCATTCTCTCTTTCTCTCTTTTATTGTGCTTTAGGTGAAAATTTACAGAGCATAGTTTGTTTTACATTCAACATTTCATGTAAATTTGGTTTCACTCACCAATTACCATCCCCAACCCTAACCCACTCTCCTCCCTTCCCTTCCCAGTAACCACCCCCATGCCCTTCATAGTTATGCACTCCTGTGTGTCCTGCATTTCCTTTGTGCGAATGTTGTCCCTCTGGTGCCCCATGGTTGATTGTGTCAAGGGGTGCATTTCCGTGGAGTATGTGGGTGCGTCACCCTGGGTTGAGTGGTCTGCATGTACATCTTGTTTATTATTGGGCTGAGAGCCAGCTCCTGGGAGTGAGTTTTATTCCAGGCCCAGAATGTATCCCAGGGCCATAGTATTAGGGGTCCCACCAGACTCTGTCCGACCAGTAATTCTGGTCATTATTGTGTTTTTGGATTTTGTTCCATGTTTTTTCTCCCACTCTATCCAGGATCTCCAGTTTTGATCCTTTCCAGAGTGGTTGGCATTGGTAGTCGGGCATCATCTAGTTCTTCTGGTCTCGAGGTCCATCATGTCCTAAGGCTGCTTGCGTCCAAATGCCCTTGTTTTTTTGCACTCTTCTTTGCTTCTATTGATATGAGACCATTAGCTGCATCTTAGATGGACATTTGAAAGCTTTTAAGACCCCAGTTGGTACTCACCAATGTAGGTTGTGGAGCAAGATTTTTATGTATTTTGTTGTGCCAATTGAGTCTAATGTCCCCCAGTTCTATGGTCCTGAGTCAATAGATCTGTTGGTTCTCTCTCCCACAGTGTCTGGCTGTCTGTGAGCGATAGTTGCATGTCTGTCTTCTGTTGTTTCTGTAAGGATTACAGGTATTTTGTATCACTGGTGTCTGCATGATTAGCCTCCATTGAATCTATCCTTGGTCTAGAGTATACTCCTGTTCACTGACCCCATTTGGTCTCCTCAGATGTTTGTGTTTATCTGTAGCCTGGTGTTTGGTGTTAATGGTTATGCAGTATTGTGGATATACTGATATTAGCCTCTGTCGTCTATATCTTATGTGTACAATTTGATGTCCTCGCTTTCCCTAATGTTATCATGGTGGTCACAGACTCTTTCCATACTATCCCTCCCCTTATCCACGTCAGCATGTGGCCCTCAACTAGACAGAAATTATTCCCTTCCCTTCCCTCCCCACTCTGGTAACCTACAAAATGAGTTCCCTTCGTTAAGCAAACCATTCCTTATCTTTTTTTTTTTTTTTT